TTGGCCACATAACAAAGGCCATGTGGGACCCACAACGAGTACCCAACAATAATGGGCTAGACTACTGGCTAGGGACTTGAGCTTGACATGACGACTCCTCTTCTTCTTCGTCTTCCTTCTTTTATTTATTTATTTATTTTTTTTAGGGGGTGACAACTCTCGTAGACTTCGTCATCGTTTTTCTCACTGGATTAAGTTATTATTTTGGTCCCTCAACTTTAAGTTTTAGACCAAGTTGATCTTTAAACTTCAAAAATTACCAAATCATTTTCTATTAACGACTTTGTCCTTCCATTAGTTAAACGCTAACATGGACGGTTAAGTATTTTTTCATCCAAAATTTTAAACTTAAAATATTAAATGAAAATTTTGAATTCATTTTATTATTGAGAAGATGGATTTTTTTTTTTTGCCATGTATGACTTTTCTTTATAAAGTTTGATTGTAATTAATTAATACTAATGCTAATTATTATTTTATCCACTTACTTCAAAATTATGAGTCTACTAAAGCTACTTCAATTATTATCTTACCTTAATTATCTTTTTAATGTATAATTATCTTAATTTTTTTTAATAAATTAAATTAAATACAATGAGAACCACACTTAATTAATCATTCACCTCTCTCTCTTCTCCAGCATATCCTTCTCTTTATCTCCCACATTATCACAATGAAAATAACTTTAATTACCCAAAAAACAAACATAATATTAGTCAATTTTCAATTGTACTAGGGAAAGTAATTCCAAATTTTAACATGTTCAAAAATTTTTAGTTATGCAAAGACCCAAATCTAGATTCCAATTTTGGGCCATTGGTTTGAGAACCCTTTCAGCCACATTCCTCTCACTTGATGAATCAAAACTATAAAGTTCAAAAACCATTTCTTCCAAACTTTTAATTCAGATAGTTCTTTAAGTAAATAATATCTTCAACCATTATTAAAGGCAACTAGCAATGTATTTTTCTCAACAAAATTTAGCAACCCCTCATAGACATAAGCATTTCATCAAACACTTACTGTATACAACTTTAGAAGTTAGAAAATTTCTATAGCTCATTGACTCCACACCACACCCAAAATCAAATTCAACATTTTAAAACAAATCAAGAAACCTACACACATCCTCAAACTATAGTTCTAGCCACCAAAACTACAATTAAAATAATAATTCTTCCCCAACCTTTAGAGGCTAAAAGGAGAATTTAGGGCTAAGTGTTTTGCCAACAAAATATAATAAAATTTTAAATCAATTGCTTTAATTTTTAAAGTATAGAAATGCACATGTAACACATAAGAAACAAGAAAATAAGAATTCCATCTAATATTTAAAATTAAAAAGCATGACTTTGTGGTAAATTAACGTCACAACCGACAGCTACGTCAAGGAAAGGGCCAATTTAGTATTGCAAAAACAAAGTTTAAGGACCAACTTGGTCTAATACTCAAAGTTTAGATACCAAAATGGTGATTTAACCTTCTCATTTTCCTCTCCCTATATCATCTTTTCTGTTGTACAACTTGTACCACTGCTTTTATATTTTCCGTATTGCCTCCTAGTTCAGTTTCCATTCCTACTTCTCTCACCTAGAAAACGCAGTAACTGCCATCGGAGACTCTCCGGTAAACCTCTTCTGAAAAGGCCTTTACTTAACGAAATTTCTCTCTATTTCCTCAACGTTCAAAATCTCTCCCAGATTTTTCGTTC